TTGTGCTCCCTCACAGGTGGTCCAGTGAGACCATGTGGGTGGAAGCACTTTGTAAACATAGGGGCTCAACAAATGCTAAATGTCACTCATGAAATTGCATTCTAAAGCAAATAAACAAGGACACTTCTTTTGTCTAAATAGCTGTGTGTAGCCTTGGAGTTCTGGCTAGGGAGTCACCCAACCCCTGGTGTTGCCCCTTGTGGCAACATCTGAGATGCTGGATACCAAGTTGGCCTTTTGTAAGGACAGCAGGGTGGGGTCTATTCTGTAGAGAGCTACAGGCAGCTGAGGACTCAGAACGGCGGACACTGTTTCAGAGACCAGAGAGGTAAAGTGAGGAGACTCCCTTCCTTCTTTCTTTCTTTCCAGAACCTACATTGACCAGAGACTTTGCAGCCAGCTCACCCCTCCAACTCCCTGCCCTGGAGTCCCTGACCTGGGAACTTCTGCATCAGGCTGCTCAAACCTGAACTTGACAAAATTTCAAAGCACGAATTCTTTATGTTGATAAGACAACGGACAAAGTGCTGAACCTGGAACCTAGATCACTCGATGTTGCCTGTAGCTGAGTCCACTTCTGTCACTCACCCTGCATTTCCCTGCTAGGAGCAAGAGAGAGAAAGCCGGCCAGAAGGCATGGGTGTGGGCTCAGATCTGGTTCCTCCTGTTGCCACTGTGAAAGTTGATCATACAAAGGTCACTGTTGTCATAGGCCAGCAGAGTTAGGAGACTAGGGGAAAAAGCATGTAACGTTGCTCCAAGAATATAACTGTCTCCAACCCTGGCTGCTGGAACAAGTGTTGCAACCTGAAACCAGTTTGATCTAATAGCTACTGAAACGACCTGCGGAAATCTAAGACCAGTTTCACCCACCCACGAATCAGAGCTTGCTGGATCCCCAAAACGTTTCCAGCGCTAACGAACTTGCTTTCCTAACAATCCGTTAACATTTCTCATTTTTATGAAACCTCCAACCTTCTCTTTGTTCTTTGGACATACTGAACACCGCCCAGTCTGTGTGTATGTCCCAAACTGAAATTCTTGCTTCCCAAATAAAACCCTTTAAACTTAGAGATTTGTCTGTATATTTTATTTGACTTTGAAAGCACCAGGGGCTCTGGCACAAATCTCCTCCTTCCTTCAAGCCCTTTTCTCCACAGTCCCGTGGGTCTGCCCTGAGAAGTCTGATGATGACCCAGAGACACATTGTCACTGGGAGGTAAATTCAGGATTACTTGACAGAATGGCTCGCCCGAGGTCACAGAGGCTGCTGGAGGAACACGAAATGGTCTTCACCAAGTGAAGCGTTGTTGGTCTTGGCCTGTGTCTAGCTGGAGAATGTTAAAATTCTGGGGACACAACAGAAAAGGCACAGTTGTGGGGACCAGGCCAATGTCAGCATGAGCAGTGGCTCCAGCCTCCTCCCATGAACCAGCTCTGCGGCCACAGGAAGGTCTGTGTGTCCTGGTCTGTGACCTGGAGTCAGTAACACTGCCTACTTCCCAGGGCTATTTTCAGAGAAGTGAGGGAATAGGTGTGGAACGCCTGCCGCCTGCGGAGCCCTGCATGAAACGTCGCTGTCTTTCTGGCCAGCCCTGAGCCAGGGAAGGGACTAGACGCGCAGGGGGTGGCTGAGGGAGGCTTTCGGCAGCTTCACCCCAGCCCTGCCCCTCCCCGCCTGCTGAAACACAACCTATGGTTATCGCCTTCCTGGAGATGTTAGCCGCCCCCTCCAGAGGTGGCTCCAAATCCATTTCTCATTTGGCTGATTTAGGAGAGGCTGCAAATCGGTCGCTATGGTTTCTTTATTTTCTCCTGACAACTTAGGAATCATTTTTCCAATTATTCCCAGGAGAGGAAAAAGAAGTGGAGGAAGCCGGTGTTTGGAATGAGGAGAAGCTCACGGATCTGAAATTGCAACCTCTTCTGCAGGGGACCCGGAGCAGCTACTAGGACCCATTGCCTCCCTGTGGGACCCCCGCCTAGCCCCCTCCAGCCAGCCCTGCCTGGCTGTGGACCCACTGCAGAAATGCCTCCCACTTAGTGCTCCAGCCTCTCTTCTATTCGGGCAGGCCACAGCTGCAGACTTTGTGCCTGCCATAGCAACCCCAAGCCCTCAAATAAACCCTCCCTCCCAGGCGGCCTCTCTACGGGAGGAAACAGACGGTGACCAAAAGCCATCAGTTAAATACACAAACAGGACTTAGAGGGTGGAAAGTGACAAGAAGAGAAACATGGCAGGAAAAATGAGTGGGGGTGAAATTTTACATGGAGCCATGGGGAAGGCTGCTGAGGAAGACCTGTAGGAGTGGGGGGCTCCCAGACAGGAACTGTGGCCCACTGCACGGATATGAGCAAGTTTGGAAGGGAATGAGTCGCCCCAAGCCTCAGCCTCGGCCAGCCATTCTCAGGTCTAGGCAGGAAAGATGCCAGCTGTCCCACATCAGCTGAGGTGTTCAAACAGCAGTGTCCCCTCAGCAGGGAGACTGCAGAGGGGATTGAAGCCTTGGGCAGGGGGCTAAAGTAGGCCAATCCTCGTTCTGCAAGTGTCCTTGGCCCCGCAGTTTGTTGGCTGTGCAGCATCTCAGGCACTCCCTGAAGGTCGAGTCTTGGCCGAGATTTCGGCTCACCCCAGTCCAGCTTCTGCTCCTGGCCAGGAATGGCGTTTCCTAACCACACGTCCACGGAGCAGGGAGGTACATCTCCACCCACTCCCATTCCTTCTCCACAGCTTGCCACGGGGCAGTGCTGGGTTTAGTTCCTCTCCTTATTTGGAGCTGGGGTGTGGACAGGTGTGCAGGTGGACAGGCAGCAGCCAAGGTAGAACGCAAGTCAGCCACGGGTGGCATGTCGGGAAGCACCAGAAGGTGCAAAAGTTTGGCATCCAGGGCCTCCCTGGACCGACTGAAATTTGGTCTAAATGTGCTCTTGTACCCACGTGGGAGGGCTCAGTGCCGCCTGGGTCTGGATTTCCTGGAGATGGGATTTCAGGGAGCAGAGGACGACTCTGGATGGGTGACCTAGCCGTAAGTGAGTGTATTTACTGAGCCCAGCAATGGGCAGAGCATGGTTCTGGGGGTGGCTGGCTTGGGGGCAACACAGACATGTAAACAGTTGTCTGTGTGAGTGGAGGGGGCAGAAGTTGATAAGATCAGGGAGTGACGGGCAGGAGGGTCTGGGAGCTCAATTCTCATAATTAGGTGTTTTCATGGTAGCTTTGTGATGCTGCCAGCAGAACCCCTTGTTTGGATGAACTTGTAGTGGGGTGATATTTTAATCTCCCATATTCTGTTAGTTTGCCAGAGCTGCCCTAACAAAGTACCACAAACTAGGTGGCTTGAAGCCATAGAAATTCACTGCCTTGCAGTTCTGCAGGCCAAAAGTCTCTGATCAAGGTGCGAGCAGGGATGGCTCCTGCTGGGGCTGTGACGGAGACTCTATTCCAGGCCTCCCCAGCTCTGGGTGGTTTTCTGGCCACCTTTGGCATTCCTGGGCTTCTACATGTGTCACCTCAATCTCTGCCTTCGTGTCCACATGGCGGTCTCCCTGTGTGCGTGTCTGTGTCCACATTTCCCCTTTTTATCAGGATACATTCATATTGGATCAGGACCCACCCTACTCCAGTATGACATCATCTTAACTTATCACATCTGCAATCACCCCAATTCCAAATAAGGGTCCTTTGGAGGCACCGGGGCTCAGGACTTTGTATTTGTTTGCCGGGACTGCCATAACAAAGCACTGCAGACCCAGGGGCTTAAACAATAGAAATGGATTTCTCCCAGTTCTGGAGGCTGGAAGTCCATGACCAAGGGGTTTGCAGGGCTGGTTTCTTCCGAGGTTTCTCTCCTTGGCTTGCAGAGGAACGTCTCCTCCCCGTGTCTTCACCTGGCCTTTCCTCCAGGTGTGGCTATGTCCATATCTTCCCTTCTCGTAAGCACTCCAGGCAGATGGGATTACAGCCCACCCACATGACCTCATTTTAACTTAATTACACTACTTTTTAAAGGCCCTTTCTCCAAATGCAGTCACATTCTGAGGTACAGGGGTTAGGGCTTCAACATATGGATTTTGGAGAAACACAATTCAGGTCATAAGACTTCAACATACCTTTTTGGGGGAAACTGTTCAACTCATAACACATACTGTGAAGCAGTTTTACCTCTTGCTACAAACATTTCCTCAGCTCCCATTCTGTGCTGGGCACCGTGCTAGAGGTGGGGGGAGCCGTGGCATCACCCTTCCAGGAGCCCCGTCTGCAATGGGTGGCAGACCAGTTGTGACTGTAGCTTGTGTGACAGCTGCCAAACTAGAGGCCCAAGGGTAAGGGGCTGGGAGAGCTGAGAGGGGCCACACTCACTCAGCGGGGAAGTGAGGCAGGAAAATGTAACTGGACAAGGCTGACTGGGAGGCGGCCAGACCAGCAGGAGGGTGGGGGCGGGTGGGGGCATTTCAGGCAGGGGAGCCACACTTGCAGAGGCTCAGCAGCACCAGGGAGCCTGGCACATTCTGGAAACTGCAGGTAGGTGTGTGGCAAGAGCACAGGGAGATGAGTCCCCAGCAGGACCCAGCTGTGGGGAACGACGTCCACCTGGCTACAGGTGCTGGGATTTAACGGCTAACCCAGGAGAGTGTGAGCTGGTCAGATTTGATCAATGAGTGTCTGAATGAATGAACGAACGAAGTGAACCATTAGTCAGGCTCATATACATGCTAGATGTTGCCGAAGTTCAGAACAAAATAAAAGTAACAACCAATCACGCAGAGGGCCAGAAAGGCAAAGTACTGCGCCCAAAGTCACCTTGCTAGGATGTGGCAGAGGCAAATACGAAGCTACTTCATCAGACCCTGGAGCCAATGCTCCACGCTGTGCTGCCTCCATCTCCCTGTGTTCCACCCTCATTCTCAAACGGGAGCCACTTCCCGAAAGAAGCCTGCGAAGGCCTCATCCCGGAATCCCAGTGGCTTCCCTGCCCCCAGGTAAGGGTTAGGGATTAGGGGCACGGGAGGCTCTTTCTCCCAAAGCGGTGCCACCCGGTGCCTTTCCTGACCTGGTCGTTAAGGAGCCCTGGGAAACTGATACCCCACCAAAGTCTTGGCCCTTCAGCCCCTCTTGCTTCCGGGCCCCTCATCTGCTTGTGGCTGCTCTGCTCCCAGGGGCTCTGGGACCACTCCTGGGCTGAGCTCTTCTGTCCCATGTCCCGTGTTCCATACCCCACCACGTGGAGGAGAGGATCCCTTAGGCCCCACTCACCAGCCCAGACAGCCCTAAGCAGTGGCCTCGAGGAGAGTCCCTCACAACCCCATATGCCATTTCCTCTCTGCAATCTTCCTTCACCCTCTTCTCTGCCTGCTCTCCAGCCGCTTCCTCCGAACCTTCCGGGAGTCTGTGAGGCCCTCCTGTCCTGGATCCCCAGCACCGTGACCCAGTTCTGTGGTGCGTGTCTCTGGGCGCTTCTGCAGGCAGGGCTCGGAGCTCCCGTCCCTCCCCTTGCTCCGTTTCCGTGTTCGGGGAGGAAAGAATGAATGGAAGTTGTGAGAAACTAGTGTGGGCTCACATGTCCAGCGGCCGGCATTGACTAAACAGTCCTGTGCCAGGCGCCTCACTTGCCTTGCCCTTTTTTTGCAGCGTAAATCCGCCCTTTATTGCCTCCAAAAAGATATTCTCTACAGCTTTACCCAGGTGTAACTGATATTTAATGAAGCAGTACAATTTGATGAGTTTGACATGTCTACACCTGTGAAACCGCCTCCAGAAGCCATGTGCCCCTCTGTCGCCCGTCCCTCCTGCCCCTGCGCACCCTCCCTCTCCAGGCAGACTCTGATCTGCCTCTGTCACTGTGACGAGTGTGCATTTTCTAGAAACTTATCTGAATGGAATCATGCAGCACACACTCTTCTTCCATCTAGTATAAGGAGGTGATGTGGAACTTTCTAAGAAATGGTCAAACTGTTTTCCAAGGGGGCTAGGCTGTTTTCGGTTCCCACCAGAGAGGAGCAGGGAGGTGGGGGGGGTGTCTGCCCCCCGCCCCCCGCCCCCCACCGCCATTACTGATTGTCACTGTAGCCGT